CCTCCGCCCTCACGTTTTGACTGCCGCAAACATTGACGATTTTCAAGTCCGGTGGCAGTTTTGGACTCGCCAACGGAGGAATTTCCCCAGCTGGATGGCATGGTGGCTTTCATACGCGAAGCCAAAAATCAAGTCATTTTTTCGCTGGAAGTCGAGCGAAGCATTCAGCATCTATAACGATGAACACCAACGTCTGTACACGCAGCTACTACTCGCATATGATGCGTATTATCAGAATCCCACCATGCTGGTGACTATGAACCGCGTCAAAGCGCAAATGCTGATGTTGCAGCGACGTTTTGCACAAAATTTTATCCGCGTCAACACGTTCGTTGCGGGCGAGAGCTTATCCACCTTCCAGCTGGGCGACAGACGAAGGAAAAAACAACTATAACAGAACTGCAGAACGAGCGAGGAGAACAAATACAAGGCTCCCTGGAGATCGAACAACACATGTTCCGATACTTCAGGGACCTGTATGCGGCTGGAGAGGCGAGGCAGGTTGGGGAAGAAACGTTTATAAACGAGAGAGTCGTACCCGAGAACGACGAAACCAACGATGCTCTAATGGCAGAGATCACTATTGACGATTTGAAAAATGCCATCCGAACATCGCAGAAACGAAAATCGCCTGGTACCGATGGCCTGCCGGTAGAGTTCTACCTACGAACATTCGACGTCATCTATCGGGAGCTGTACTTCGTAATAAATGAGGCTATGACGAATGAGCTCCCCTCGGAATTCACCGCTGGCACAATCGTGCTGGTCAAAAAGAGAGGTGGCGATGGGACAGCGAGAGCATACCGTCCGATTAGCCTGCTCAACGTCGATTATAAAATTCTTAGCCGTGTGATGAAGGCCCGTTTGTAACGCGTGCTGCAGATACATCGAGTTCTGAGTGACGCTCAAAAATGCGCCAACACCGACCGCTCTATTTTTCAAGCTACACTCTCGCTCAAGGATCGTGTGGCCCAGCTTATCGCAAGAAAACAGAAAGGGAAGCTGATCTCGTTCGACCTAGATCACGCGTTTGATCGGGTCTCTCATGAGTTTCTTCTCTCTCTGGGAATCAATCATGATTTCGTCAGCTGGCTCTCTCGAGTGGCCGATACCTTTTCATCACGACTGTTAGTGAATGGGCACCTTTCACAGTCGTTCCGCATAGAACTGCTGCTCTTTGTGCTCTACCTCCATCCCCTCCTCACACGGGTGGAGCGTGTGTGTGGCGGTGATCTTTGCGTTGCGTACGCTGACGATATCACGGTGATAGCAACATCAACGCAAACAATTGAACGGATCTTTCAGCTGTTCGACTGCTTTGAAGTCGTTGCCGGGGCAAAACTAAATCGCCATAAAACAGTGGTAATCAATGTTGGATTCATCAATGGGGATCCACTGTTGATACCAGGACTACAGAATACAGAGAAGGTGAAGGTTCTGGGTGTTATTTTTGCAAACTCAGTGCGGCTGATGGTGAAGCTAAACTGGGATACGCTAATCAACAAAATTCGGCAGCTTATATGGATGCATAACATGCGCTCCCTTACTCTGCAGCAAAAGGTAATATTACTTAACACCTTCATCACAGCGAAGGTGTGGTACCTCTCTTCCATATTACCACCGCAATGTATCCACACGGCAAAGCTGACAGCGACAATGGGGACTTTCCTGTTTCGAGGATTGGCAGCACGTGTCCCAATGCAGCAGCTGGCGCGCAGTAAAGAGCATGGAGGACTAAAGCTGCAATTGCCAGCGATCAAGTGCAAAGCGCTTCTCGTCAATCGCCATCTTCAAGAGATCGATTCCCTTCCCCACTATCAGTCCCTTCTTGCCCAAAATATTCCTTTCCCTGCCGATCTTCCCTGCCTAAAACTCCTCTCTCAGCAATTTTTATTGTATCCCCACCACATCCAACAAAACCCCACCAGTGATCAAATTCACCGCTTCTATCTGGAGCAAACCGAGATACCAAAAGTGGAACGGAACCAGCCAGGCCTGAACTGGAAGAAGATATGGGCAAACATTTCATCAAGAAGACTGTCATCGAGCCAGCGCAGCGATCTCTACTTGTTAGTGAACGAAAAAACGGAGCACCGCAGACTGATGAACATCATCGGCCGTGCAAACGACCCACATTGTCAGCACTGCATGGTGGTTACCGAATCTTTGCAACACAAGTTCAGTGAGTGCCCCCGAATAACCGCGGCATGGGCGTACGTGCAACGAAGGATGACGGTGACTCTCGGTGGGTGGCAAAGGCCTACGTTCGAAGACCTTCTACGCCCGATCCTGGGTACAATTGCAACAGAGACAAGAATCAATTTACTTAAAATTTTCATAAAATACATCAACTTTATTAATGCCCATATTAATAGTAGAATCGATGTAGGTGAGCTAGAGTTTGTTCTAAATCTAGAAGAATAATTAATTTTTTTATCTGTTTGAATGTGTTATTTATTATTAAAAACTAAATAAACAATATTTTTACAAAAAAAAAAATAAAAAAAAAAAATCATGCAGAACATGCAGTGGTAGACTGATGCAAAATTTGAAATTTTCGCTCCACAGTGCTTAAACAGTTCTAAATTGGGTACTGCTTAGCCTTCCAAAATTTGAACTACTTTAGTAAGAAACTGACTTGGCACAAACCATTTCAAGTTTATATGGAAATTACTATGGGAAAACTTATGTTTTTGTTCATATCTATCTAACAATTCACCACATCACTATGCTTTTAAAAATCATAGTAGAAAATTTTCTCAGCTACAACTTTGGTGAAAATCACTTTTCAATCAAAAGTAAGGAACAAAAGTTATTAATGATGCATGTCACTGATGTCTTATAATTATGCTCATTCAACTGTTCAGCAGGCAACATTGGTGTTTCTGGTGCGAAGAATAGAGCACAAATATCATGGCTACTATGTCACACTGCAGAATACAGTGTTGCCCACAGAACAGCTGCTAGATCATGCCATAAGATTATCAATCTCTTAAACAATTAATAACATTTTAATTTGACATTTGACTGAAAAACGATGTTCAGCAAAGTTGTAGCTTAGAAAATTTTCCGTAAGAATAGCTATAGAAATTTTCGAAAAAGCAATATGGAAAATTGGTAGAAGACAATGAACAAAAAGTTTGGTTTTCCCATAGTAATTTCCATATAAACTTCAAATGGTTTGTGCCAAGTCAGTTTCTTACCAAATGAGTTTAACTTTTGGGAGGCTAATCAGGACCTGATTTGAAACCGTTTGAGCACTGTGGAGCTAAAATTTCAAAATTTGCATCAGTCTAATGCAGGGGTGAGTGAAATAGCTTGGGACTGCTTGGGACCGTTGTTCTGGTACTGAGTGAGCCAAAAATAATAATGATTTTCTTCGGGACCCAGTGGCCTTAGAGTTACCTCTATGGTATAACACAATCAATTCAAATTAAAAGATCAGTTAATGCTCATAAAAAAAATCAGTGGAACTCTATGAAAGATCTGTGAAAGCTCAGTGAAAGCACAGAGAAAGATCTCTGAGAGATCAGTATAAGCAACAATCAATACGAAACTATCGATCCTATCCCAAGCAAATCGATTAACGTACCCCGTTCTAGTCGAAATTCTAGTACTACACAATGTTTGTTTTGATTCGCTATGAAAGTTTGACAGACACAATGAGGGGTTCGTGGATTTTCTTATGTTTCGAGGGGTGCTCGATTAGCTTGGGACCGAAGATAGTACCAGAGCTGAGCCAATAAGTTGAGCACGTTTCTTCGGGACCTACTAGTCTTAGAGCTATCTCTATGGTATAAGCACTGTGGATGCTCAAGTCAATGCTGTTTTAAATCTCAACAAAAGTTCAATCAAAGCTCATCAATAGCTTAGTATAAGTTCAGATGAAGCTCATAAAAAATCTGAAATAATCTCAGCAAAAGCATAGCAAGGGTTCAATAAAAATTTAGAAAAATATCAGTGAAAGCTCATAAATATCTTAGTGAAAGTTTAATAGGAGCTCAGTGAAATATCAATAAAAATAATGTAAATGTTTAAAAAAGCTTTGTAAAAGCTTAATAAAACCTCAGTAAAAGCTCAGTAAAAGCTCAGTAAAAGCTCATTAAAAATTAAGAAAAAGTTTAATTCACACTCAATAAAATTTCAGGAAAAAATATCAGGCTAAGCTCAGTAAAAGCATAGTGAAAGGCCAATTAAAGTTCAGTAAAAGCTTTGTAAAACACATTAAAAGCCATTCAAATTTCAGTAAAAGCTCATTGAAATCCATAAGAACTCCGTTGATCACAGTAAAAGCCAATCAAAATTTATTAAAATCTCATTAACAAAAAACTCAGTGAAAGCTCAGTAAATCGCTGCAAAAGCCCATTAAAAGCTCAGTAAAAGCTCTATAACATCTGTGTCGATAGCACAAAGACGAGCAGCAGGTGATGCAGCAGTTCACGGATGCAGGTAAGTCGGGTTTCCCTTGGTTTTCTTTTCAGGTGCCGGTTCCAGATGCAGGTAAGTCCATTAAGCATTCACTAACACTTCTTCTTCTTCTCAAATTACTAACTACCATTTGATCCCGTTTTTCGTGCATTCTTCGGCGACTGCAGCTTTGTGATCCTGGCTGCGAAGTAAGCGACGTAGTTCGTTGGCAGCTCCTACGAAATTTCGTCCATTGTCGCTGTAGATTTCGGTACAGAGACCTCGCCGGGAGACGAATCGTCGCAAGGCTTGAATGAACTTGGCTGTGCTCAAATCCGCCACCAGTTCTAGATGCACGGCTTTTGTACAGAGACACACGAAAACTGCCACATATGCCTTTCTCGGTGCTGCTCGTCGATGATGCGGTTGGATTTGAATGAGCCCCCAGTAGTCGATGCCGGTTACGGTGAACGGTCGGGTTGCAGTGACACGAGCAGTAGGTAACTTTGCCATAAATTGCTCTATCATTTTAGGACGGTTCCGGAAGCAAACGACGCAGCTATGGACTATCCGCTTGACGAGATCCCTAGCCCCTATGATCCAATACCGGAGACCAGGAAGCGTGCGAAGAAGTTGTGGCGCTGCGTGAAGATGTCGAAGATGAAAGGATCTAACCAGTAGCGATGAGAATGCGTGTGATGATGGTAGGATGACGGTATGCTTATTGTCGAACGAAAGTTGCGAGTTGCTAAGTCGTCCGCCGATTCGAAGAACTTGATTGTTGTCGAGAAAAGGATGAAACCATCGAAGACGAGATTTAGCTGGTACAGGTTGTCGTTGTAGTAGTTGTCGTTCGCTGCCAAAACATTGTTGCTGCACTAGCTTGATTAGCGTCGATTCCACCTTGATGAGATCCTCCGTGGTGAGAAAGGTACCTGCTTGACACTGAGTGGTTTTAAGCCGACAGTTTTGCAGAAACCGAAGACAGTATGCCGTAATCCGTAGCATGCGTGCGTAGTTGGAGAACTTTCCGACGTGGTCATCGATGAATGACGACTTCTTGGTTTCTCGCAGAGCTTCTTCGGGTTGATTAGGGTTAGATTTGGTTGCTATTGGCCATACGGCAAGTTCACGTTGTAGCCAGTCGGGACCGTTCCACCAGAGACTGCTTTCGATGAGATTTTCTGCTGTCGTTCCCCTAGAGATGAGATCCGCTGGGTTCTGTATTCCGGCGACGTGATCCCACGAGCAGTTTTCGGTAGCAAGCTGGATTTTGGATACACGGTTCGCCACGAATGTTGTCCATGTAGAGGGAGAAGATTTCAGCCAGCAGAGGACTACAGTGGAATCGACCCAGAAAAATGTGTCCGCTGTCAGTTGAAGAGATTTCATTACCTTCTCGTAGAGTTGAGCACCAACGAGTGCACCGCACAGTTCGAGTCGCGGAATGCTCTGCTTCTTGAGAGGGGCGACCTTTGATTTGGAGGCCAGGAGCGCTACTTTGACGCAACCATTAGCGTTCGTTGATCGAATGTAGACACACGCACCGTATGCGTGATCGGAGGCGTCGGTGAAGATGTGGAACTGCAGTGACGTTGGTGACGGAAATAGAACGCAACGCTGCACACGTAGTTCGTGGAGGCAAGGAAGTTGCGCCTGGTACGATTCCCAACGAGTTTTGAAAGCTGATGGCAGTTCTTTATCCCAGCTCCATGCCTTTCCTTCATCGTCCACAAGTGTCCAAATGGCCTGCATGAAGATTTTCGCTAAGGTTACGACCGGTCCAACTAGTCCTAGTGGGTCGAATAAGCGTGCTATATGCGAGAGTGCGACACGTTTCGTCAGAGCTTCGGTAGTGGAAGTCGGAGGAAGTTGAGTCTTGTAGCGAAGAACGTCGGTGGCTGGCTCCCAGTGCAGCCCTAGTGTTTTGATGCATTGATCCCTGTCGAGGTCAACTGATGACTTGAGAGCCCTGTTCTCGGTCGGGACGTCTTCTACAACCGCTGGTTCGTTTGATGCCCATTTTTGTAGTTCGAAACCTTCTCTTTTGAGAAGAGATTCTAGCTGCTTTCGTAGAGCGATTGCTTCTTCTACCGTGTTTGCTCCGGAAAACAGGTCGTCGACGTAGAAGTCCTTACGAAGAACGTTGGCAGCTTCGGGGAAGTCGGTTTGCTCGTCATGAGCCAGTTGCTGCAGCACTCGTGTAGCAAGAAACGGAGCGCTGGCGGTACCGTAAGTAACGCTTTTTAGCTCGTATTTTTGTAGAGGGGCTTCTGATGATGGACTCCATACGATATGCTGCAGGTTGTTGCTTCGTTGGTCCGTCAGAATCTGCTGATACATTTGTTTGACATCGGCGTTGAGCAGGACCGGGTGGATTCTGGATCGCATAGTCAGCGATCGGAGGTCTTCCTGTACAATGGGTCCGATCATGAGTGCGTCATTCAAGGATGGTCCATTCGGTGTACGGCACGACCCGTCGAAGACCACGCGTACCTTCGTGGTGATGCTGTCCTCTCGTACTACGGCATGATGGGGAAGATGGTAAGAAGGATATTGCGCTTGCTGGTAATCCTGCACAAGTTCCATGTGACCTAGCTGCTGGTACTCGTCCATGAAATATTGGTACTGTTTGCCGAGTTCATCGTTTCGAGCTAGCTGACCTTGCAGGAGACGAAAGCGACGAATAGCAGTGCGACGATTGTCGCCGAGGTTAGAGAGGATGTCTTCCTTCAGAGGCAGAGAAACGATGTAACGACCTTCGGGAGTTCGAGAGACCGTTCGACAAAAGTGCTCTTCACACGCCGTTTCCTCCACCGAGTAGTTAGGGCTTGAGCTGTCTTCTTCGATTGACCAGAATTTCTCCATAAGGGTGTTCAAATCGGCAACGGCAGTGACGTTGGCAACGATCGAAGTGGTTGAAGGACACTGGGTGTTCTTCCCAGAGACAACCCAGCCGAAGACGGAATTGATGAGCGTTGGCAGGCCAGGACCAAGTTGGATTCTACCCGAGACTTTGAACAATTCAATCGATTGGGCTGGTTCGGTAGAAAGCAGGATCAGCTAGTTGAATGCCAGGCGGAATCTCCCAAGATGACGTGTTGACTGCAGCTGAGGGCAAATCGATTACGACCTTCGGCAGCACGAGAAGTTCAACGGTGGTGGCATAGTTACAGACACGAGAGTGGATTTTCGAGAGGAACTTGAAGCGCGATTCCGTTGAAGACTGTCCTATTCCGGCGATAGGAAGGTGGATCCGCTTACGCTGGACCTTGACAAGTTGCGAAAACGTTTCTGTGGCGAAGCAACATTCACTGCCTGAGTCTAGCAGCGCTCTAGCAGCATGTTCCGTCCCATTATCGTCGACTACGATGACTGCAGCGGTGGCGAGAAGTACGCTTTTGCGTCCGCGTCCAGCGGAAGCGTAGCTGGCATGCTCGTTGAGGGTTGCTGATACCGAAGCGGATGGTTGTTCGGTTGATTGTTGGCTTGAATTCTCCTTCGGTTGAGGCGATTAGAAGACCTTCGAGCTAGTTGCAGCAGAACCTTGGCAAAGTTGAGTGTGATGGTGACCTCTGCATTTACGGCAAGTACTTGATGATGGACATTCCTTAGCCTTATGCCCCTTACGCAGACAGTTACGGCACAATTGGTGGCGACGAACTTCCTTTTCCTTCTCATCGACATTCATTCTGGAAAATACACCGCATTGGTTGGTTGGACTTGCTCCGTGACTGGCAACCACTCGTTGAACCGGTTTCTTGGAGAAGTTGATCGGTGACGGAGTCTCGGTGGTCTTTCCGATGGTTTGCAGAACCGAAACTCGGCGTTGAATGATGGTCGTCAGATTCTGGAACGATACGGCGTTGAGTGTCGATGCGTGTTCTTCCCAATCCCTCCGGGTAGTGGGATCTAAACGGGTGCTCAACATGCGGATCAGCAGAATGTCCCAGTATTCCGTTTGCTCCCCGAGCTGATGAAGGACTTTCACGTTAGCTTCGAACCTTTCGACCAGCGAGTGAAGCTCAGAAGCGGATTCCTTTCTGACGGATGGAAATTCGAAAAGCGGGTCGACGTATGACTGCTTTAGGCGTACGGGGTTCTGGTAGTGGTCCAATAGTAGATTCCAGGCCACCTGGTAGTTGTTGGCGCTAAGGGCAATAGTTTGCACGAGCTTCAAAGCATCCCCAGAGAGTGACGAGCGAAGGTAGTAGAATTTCTGGATGTTCGACAGTTCTTGCGACGAGTGTACCAACGAAACGAAAAGGTCGTGGAAGTTTATCCATTGGTCGAGATTTCTGGCGAAAACTGGCAGTTTTATGTCGGGCACCCTTACATGCGACGACAGAGGGCTTTGCGTAGTAGAAGAAGAAGATGAAGAAATGCGTGGCGTAGGTTCATTTTTATTTACAGCCAGCAAGAACCCTTTGACCCTGAAGTACGATGGTGAGGTAAGGTGATTGGAAAGCTAATTACCTGATCTAAGGCAAAGCTATGCCTTGTGTAAATTTCCAATCGACGCGAAGCTAACACTTCTTCTTCTTCTCAAATTATTACCTACTTTATTTAATTGTACTTAATTCACCATAAATTCATTCAATAGAACTTCTGTCTGTCTGTCTGTCTGTCTGTCTGTCTGTCTGTCTGTCTGTCTGTCTGTCTGTCTGTCTGTCTGTCTGTCTGTCTGTCTGTCTGTCTGTCTGTCTGTCTGTCTGTCTGTCTGTCTGTCTGTCTGTCTGTCTGTCTGTCTGTCTGTCTGTCTGTCTGTCTGTCTGTCTGTCTGTCTGTCTGTCTGTCTGTCTGTCTGTCTGTCTGTCTGTCTGTCTGTCTGTCTGTCTGTCTGTCTGTCTGTCTGTCTGTCTGTCTGTCTGTCTGTCTGTCTGTCTGTCTGTCTGTCTGTCTGTCTGTCTGTCTGTCTGTCTGTCTGTCTGTCTGTCTGTCTGTCTGTCTGTCTGTCTGTCTGTCTGTCTGTCTGTCTGTCTGTCTGTCTGTCTGTCTGTCTGTCTGTCTGTCTGTCTGTCTGTCTGTCTGTCTGTCTGTCTGTCTGTCTGTCTGTCTGTCTGTCTGTCTGTCTGTCTGTCTGTCTGTCTGTCTGTCTGTCTGTCTGTCTGTCTGTCTGTCTGTCTGTCTGTCTGTCTGTCTGTCTGTCTGTCTGTCTGTCTGTCTGTCTGTCTGTCTGTCTGTCTGTCTGTCTGTCTGTCTGTCTGTCTGTCTGTCTGTCTGTCTGTCTGTCTGTCTGTCTGTCTGTCTGTCTGTCTGTCTGTCTGTCTGTCTGTCTGTCTGTCTGTCTGTCTGTCTGTCTGTCTGTCTGTCTGTCTGTCTGTCTGTCTGTCTGTCTGTCTGTCTGTCTGTCTGTCTGTCTGTCTGTCTGTCTGTCTGTCTGTCTGTCTGTCTGTCTGTCTGTCTGTCTGTCTGTCTGTCTGTCTGTCTGTCTGTCTGTCTGTCTGTCTGTCTGTCTGTCTGTCTGTCTGTCTGTCTGTCTGTCTGTCTGTCTGTCTGTCTGTCTGTCTGTCTGTCTGTCTGTCTGTCTGTCTGTCTGTCTGTCTGTCTGTCTGTCTGTCTGTCTGTCTGTCTGTCTGTCTGTCTGTCTGTCTGTCTGTCTGTCTGTCTGTCTGTCTGTCTGTCTGTCTGTCTGTCTGTCTGTCTGTCTGTCTGTCTGTCTGTCTGTCTGTCTGTCTGTCTGTCTGTCTGTCTGTCTGTCTGTCTGTCTGTCTGTCTGTCTGTCTGTCTGTCTGTCTGTCTGTCTGTCTGTCTGTCTGTCTGTCTGTCTGTCTGTCTGTCTGTCTGTCTGTCTGTCTGTCTGTCTGTCTGTCTGTCTGTCTGTCTGTCTGTCTGTCTGTCTGTCTGTCTGTCTGTCTGTCTGTCTGTCTGTCTGTCTGTCTGTCTGTCTGTCTGTCTGTCTGTCTGTCTGTCTGTCTGTCTGTCTGTCTGTCTGTCTGTCTGTCTGTCTGTCTGTCTGTCTGTCTGTCTGTCTGTCTGTCTGTCTGTCTGTCTGTCTGTCTGTCTGTCTGTCTGTCTGTCTGTCTGTCTGTCTGTCTGTCTGTCTGTCTGTCTGTCTGTCTGTCTGTCTGTCTGTCTGTCTGTCTGTCTGTCTGTCTGTCTGTCTGTCTGTCTGTCTGTCTGTCTGTCTGTCTGTCTGTCTGTCTGTCTGTCTGTCTGTCTGTCTGTCTGTCTGTCTGTCTGTCTGTCTGTCTGTCTGTCTGTCTGTCTGTCTGTCTGTCTGTCTGTCTGTCTGTCTGTCTGTCTGTCTGTCTGTCTGTCTGTCTGTCTGTCTGTCTGTCTGTCTGTCTGTCTGTCTGTCTGTCTGTCTGTCTGTCTGTCTGTCTGTCTGTCTGTCTGTCTGTCTGTCTGTCTGTCTGTCTGTCTGTCTGTCTGTCTGTCTGTCTGTCTGTCTGTCTGTCTGTCTGTCTGTCTGTCTGTCTGTCTGTCTGTCTGTCTGTCTGTCTGTCTGTCTGTCTGTCTGTCTGTCTGTCTGTCTGTCTGTCTGTCTGTCTGTCTGTCTGTCTGTCTGTCTGTCTGTCTGTCTGTCTGTCTGTCTGTCTGTCTGTCTGTCTGTCTGTCTGTCTGTCTGTCTGTCTGTCTGTCTGTCTGTCTGTCTGTCTGTCTGTCTGTCTGTCTGTCTGTCTGTCTGTCTGTCTGTCTGTCTGTCTGTCTGTCTGTCTGTCTGTCTGTCTGTCTGTCTGTCTGTCTGTCTGTCTGTCTGTCTGTCTGTCTGTCTGTCTGTCTGTCTGTCTGTCTGTCTGTCTGTCTGTCTGTCTGTCTGTCTGTCTGTCTGTCTGTCTGTCTGTCTGTCTGTCTGTCTGTCTGTCTGTCTGTCTGTCTGTCTGTCTGTCTGTCTGTCTGTCTGTCTGTCTGTCTGTCTGTCTGTCTGTCTGTCTGTCTGTCTGTCTGTCTGTCTGTCTGTCTGTCTGTCTGTCTGTCTGTCTGTCTGTCTGTCTGTCTGTCTGTCTGTCTGTCTGTCTGTCTGTCTGTCTGTCTGTCTGTCTGTCTGTCTGTCTGTCTGTCTGTCTGTCTGTCTGTCTGTCTGTCTGTCTGTCTGTCTGTCTGTCTGTCTGTCTGTCTGTCTGTCTGTCTGTCTGTCTGTCTGTCTGTCTGTCTGTCTGTCTGTCTGTCTGTCTGTCTGTCTGTCTGTCTGTCTGTCTGTCTGTCTGTCTGTCTGTCTGTCTGTCTGTCTGTCTGTCTGTCTGTCTGTCTGTCTGTCTGTCTGTCTGTCTGTCTGTCTGTCTGTCTGTCTGTCTGTCTGTCTGTCTGTCTGTCTGTCTGTCTGTCTGTCTGTCTGTCTGTCTGTCTGTCTGTCTGTCTGTCTGTCTGTCTGTCTGTCTGTCTGTCTGTCTGTCTGTCTGTCTGTCTGTCTGTCTGTCTGTCTGTCTGTCTGTCTGTCTGTCTGTCTGTCTGTCTGTGGCTCCCATACAAATGAAACAGAAATTTCTGCACAACTCGAGAACTAATCAAGCAAATGGAACCAAATTAGGCATGTGGGGGTGAGTGTGGGGGTATAAGGAGATAATCATAGGGGGTAGCCCCTTAGATAATAGGGGGGGGGGGGGGGGCTACGTACAATATAGCATGCTTTTTTTTAAATCGGCGTATAAACTCAAGCTAATATTGAATCCCGAGCAAGACCGGGCACACTCAGCTAGCATAATATATAATGTTGATGCACGAACAGTCAGTAAAAGCTCAGTGAAAGCTCAGTAAATGTTATGCAAAAGTTCAATAAAAGTTAAGGCTCTGTGAAAGCTCAGTAAAAGCTCACAGAAAGCTCTATAATAGCTCATAGAAAGCTCAGTAAAAGCTCACAGAAAGCTCTGTAATAGCTCATAGAAAGCTTACTGAAAGCTGAGTAGAAGTAAGTACAGTAAAAGTAA